TTTAGCCAATCTCTGGCAAGCATGTATGACAAGACTGGAGTGCGAGTAATTATTATGTGTCCAGGCGTTACAATAACAACGTTAATCACAGACATCGACGATAAAGTCTGTGACTCCATCAAAGCTGTGAGCAATAAAGTTGGCTTAAAGAAATATCCGAGTCAGACAATTGACAATGTGGCACTTGCGATGTTAAAACTTATTCAGAAGGGTAAAAATCAAGAGGCCTGGGTCAGCGAAGGTGGTGAACCACCATACGCTGTGGACTTTCCCTATTATTCCAAGCAATCTTTGCCAGTATAAGTTGGTACATGATATGTTATACATTTTTTCTGGATACTGCAATTTTCTTCTATTGAATTACTGAATCAAAAAAAAAGAAGCAAAATAGCCTAATCAAATAACAATCAATTATATATTTGACATTATGTTAATTTTTAAATAAATAATCTCATTGAAACTGATCATTTCTACAAATTAATCAAATCTACGATAATTAATATTAGTAATCATACTTTTATCTTAAAATTTCATCTTAAAATCTTAGGAATCATATATAGTTTTATATAAAATTTATAGCGATGTAAAATTTGATCTTTTAATCTTTTAATTAATTTTCATTTTAAATAAATTGTTAATTTTCATTTTAAATAAATTGTTTTATTAAATAATATTCTGTAACTTCGTAATTACAATTATAATTATGAAACGCATTACATTCGTTAAAAATAATCTTTAAATTCAAAAAGTACATATTTAAAAAACTAAGATAATAATGTAGAATATTAAGAATCTTTTGTTATTATACACTTTCAAAATGTAAAATGATAAAAATATATTTATATATAAGTTTTATACTTATATTTTTAGTTATTTTTCCGATGTGTTTTTTAAACGTATGTAATATCCGAGAATGTTCCCTTTATAATAAAGCAAGATTTATCACAGATACATTTTTTATCTAATTTTTTTACAACATGATGTAATCCTATGCCAACGTAAGTAAACATAAATAAAAAGAAAAAGATAATTACATTACAATCTCAAAATGTCTTATAATAACGACCAGTTCGGGATTTTCAATGTAACAATAAGGTTGCCTTCACTTCATTTCTAACAATAAATCTGAAATTTGGGATTCTATTAAAAAATGGAGTCTCACTCACATGTGTCCTTACTTACATGTGTCTAACATACGGAAGGTGAAAAAGATTTATACAGTATTTCAAGGTTTTTTTCATTAATTCTATAGTTCCATAGTTATATCGTTCCATAGTTTACAATATGAATATTTTCCAGTATCTACTAAATTTCAAGATTTAAATAATGCATATATTCACTTTGGAATGATTGTACACTTTATGCATTTTGAAATTACATGTATTTTTATGTAATTTATTTTTTTATAATAGTAATTATATAAAATATCAATAAATAATTAGATAAAAAAATAAATTACATAAAACTACAAACGATCTTATATATATATATAAAGGTAATAAATATAGGTAATAGAATTGCAAAAACAAGATATTCTTTGTATACGAAAAAATTGATGGCCCTAAAAAAATCGTTTGTAGTTTTCGCAGTTAAGCTTTTTTCTCAGTTTTCTTTGGCAGTAAAACTGTAGAGAGTAGCTTGTGCAATTCCTCGTCATTGCGAATGGCCAGTTGTAGATACGTAGGAATGATTCCAATTCCAGTACTTCAGTAGCAAGATATTCTATCACGACAGCTAGATAAAGCCGAAGCACCAGCATCGACATGCTCAGCGTAATTTCCTTTTCGCAGACGCCTGTGGATACGTCTAATGAGAAACCGCAGTCCAGTACGATTGGAACAGGGTTTTATCTTTGCCACCTTTGCCATGACCAGACATGTTTACGATTAAAGAACAACGTGAAGCATACGATATCTCGACTCGTATCTTTTGATGACCCACCTTCGCTATTTATACCGTATCACGATAACTGCATGCGTCCAATGGCGTGACAGATTGGTGACAGCGTTACGTGATTGGTACGCTGTTACTATCGCTTTATTATGTACAAAAACTGCATTATCTAACAACTTTTTTCTTTTTTTCATATTTCTTTTCTATTTCAACATTTTTAAGATTTTGTTTTATTTCATAATTTATTCTGGAATTAACGTTGAATACGATTCTTGTAGACAAAAAATTCGTTCCTAACTGCAGACTGTTGATTTATTAAATTAAAAGAACTTATTACAAATATACGAATTTTTTTGGCAATTCGTAGATTTTATAAAATCTAGAAAATCTAAAAAGTTACATATGTATTTTGATGTCTCTTTTCAATCAGCAGATCGTTTTTTAGAAAATTAAATACTGCCATCCGAAATGAATATTAAAAAGTCAATACTCGTGAATATGAAATTTTATACAATAATATATTATAGGACTATGTGTGTATGTGAGATAATACAACTATAGAAATCAAAGCTTTAAACGGCTAATATATACGTAATATATATTATAAAGTCAATACTAAAATCATACAAGCATTAAGATCCAATATAGACCGTTTAAGACTTTGATAAAGTTTCGCTGCATAGATCGATCACAATCATATTTAAGAATCTCCGATGATAAAAATGAATAATTCCATTGAATTTTTTTTACTCATGTACGATAATTTACTATAAAAAAAATTATATGCACTGCAGAAAATCCCATTTGATTAAATAAACTAATCTCTTATTTAGATATGAGTACGATGATCATATTTTCTTAAATAAAATAAAAGACAAAAATTTTAGGGCTTTGTTCCTACATGTTTTAAAAACCAGTTTGAAAAGAATTCTAAGAATCTGTGCATATAAAAATGTTATTGCACAGTATAATCAAATTGAGATAATGCGTACTTTTCTGAATTTAAAACTGGTTCGACTGTATTGGAACAAACTCTTGATCTAAAAGATTCGAAGTAATAAAAAATGAGAACAACTCTAGTTTGAATAAATTTAAAATATTTTCCGTAAAACTTTATTCATTAATATAATATTATAGACATTGAAATGCTATAGTTAGAAAAGAATTTCCCGTAATGTCAAAATAAAGAACAATAAAGAACAACATTAGAAAATAAAAGACAAGATTGAATTTTGAAGAAACAAATAAATCTAAAGGACAGCTACCTAGAAAATAAAGAACTATCCTTTACAATAAAGAACGTAGACATGATCATCGTAGACATGGACAAACAAATTCTTGGTTGATTCAATCAAATTCTCCATTAAAAGTAAATGTAGTAGTGTAGTTTATCGTTTCTCACGAATATCATCTCGCACACCTGAAAGATTTCATAAAGATACAGTATAAAGATATTTTTTAGACATATGCGTGTTTTCTTGATTAGAATTAAATTAATTTTTAATAATCAAGAATATAAAATATATACAAAGCTAAATGACTTATGGAAACAATCTTTTATTTGTCTTAATTATGAACCCTAATATAAATATACGATTTTTTTTATTGCATTATACGCATGATGGAATGTTAAATAAGTCATGGATAACTTATTATTTAAAAACTCTATAATTATAATAGATTCTAAAAAAACCTAATTATAAATCTAATTAATATTTGAATCAACCAGCAGCAAAGCAAAAGTTTGACTATAATTGTTTTTAATCTAAATTTTTTTTTCATGAAAAAAAGATTACAATTCTTTATATAACAGAATTATGTACTACTTAATAAACGATTTTTTTCCATTGTCAGTTTCACTCCAATTACTATATAATTGCTTCCTTTATTTTCATCGGTTATATTTAATTTTCTACAAAAAAAAATTTGTTTTCTCTTTCTAATTTCATAAACAATTTAACTCGACTATTTTTTTTTAGAAATTGATGTACTTGTCATCGCCACACCTTAAACTTCACTTTGCGCTATTTATTGAGGATCTTATCTAATGTAGTTAATTACACATAAATTATGCGTCATTAATTATATTTATTAATTATCGAATTGATAATAAACAATTTTTATTTTCACACAAACCGCGAATAAACTCTTATTAACCTTTCTTTGTTTTTACATTTGACATTCTCGAGAGTTTTTATTTATTTTATTTATCTTATTTAAATATCAAGCATATCTATTGACAATGCATTTCAACTATAATTTTTATATAATTTATTGATATAAGTTTTGCGATAAAGTTGTCACTGATTAATTAATATAAATTGATTAAATTTTGATCAAAAATAAGGCAAATTATATTTATTATTTTATCTTTATATAACATTAAAAAATTGTATTTTTCTGTTTATAAAATATGAATAAACTTATTACGATTTAATTGATTCTTGCTATGAAAAACAAAAATCGGCGAAACGCAATATATGTTGCAAATGCAAACTGATATTGATTTAAACAAATATTGAATAAAAAACTCAATTATTCTCTGTAGAGTCTATAGTGAAAGACGCATGTCAAAACGCATGTCACATGAGTTTGAAGGTAGGCTAAGCCAAGGTGGTTTCGTAGTATCAATTTGAATATTTCACTTCGTTGAATTATTTTCACCAAAAATAGATAGCCATTATTAACGTCTGCTTTATAAATATATTGTTACATCAGTTTTATATTTTAGTTTGTATAACATTTTTATGTTTCTAGAAAAACACGTGTTTGTAATTTGCGTATTTTGGAGGTTATCTCTAAAATTATTATCAGAAATGCTCATTTCGGAAATGTCATTTTATCAATTTTTTATAATTTTATTAATACTTGTATAATAATTATTATATATAAATTTAACGTGAAGTGTATAAAAGTATCTTTGACATATGTGTGACATAAAAATTAATAATAAAATATGTTTGATTTTACTGTTATATGAAATTCAATTCAGTGATAACAGATGCATGCTAATCTCTTTTTTGACATTTCTTTAATAACTAATTTTTACTTCTTTTATTTTTTCTCATTTATGTTTACAGATTGTCAGATATATTATTGATAATAAAATGGCGCCCAAGAATACTAACTATATTGTTTGGATTGATATGGAGGTATTGAAACGTTACAAATAACACCTAATATAATTATAACATAATATAATTATAATCAAATATAATTATAATATAATTATAATAAAAAAAATTAATTTAGAAACATGAATCAATTGCATGATATTTTTATAGATGACTGGACTTGATGTAGATAAAGATCATATATTAGAAATTGCCTGTGTTGTAACAGATAAGAAATTAAATATTGTTAGCGAGGAATTAAATATTGTAATACATCAGTCAGATGCAATATTAGAAAATATGAATGATTGGTGTAAAGAAACCCACACAAAGGTAAACTTTTAACTTATATGATGTTAATATTTTTGAACTTTTAGCATTTGCAAATTGATATATTTTGAGCTCTATAATTTAATTATTATATATTTCAGACGGGATTAGTTGAAAACTCTCGCTCAAGTACTATATCATTAGAAGAGGCTGAGAAGACGGTACTTGATTTTTTAAAAAAGCATATTCATGAACGTTCATGTCCATTGGCTGGAAGTTCGGTATACATGGATCGTTTTTTTCTATATAAGAATATGCCATTAGTTAATAATTACTTGCACTACAGGATTATTGATGTCAGTACAATTAAGGAAATTGCTAGGTAAGAATAAGTTTCTTCTATTTTTATATAAACAAATAGAGATGCTGATATTTTTTCTTATGCATTGTAAACGATTAATATAGGAATCTGTCTTGATGTTTAAAGCAATTTTAACAGAAAAATATGATATTGTAAATAAATCATCATAATTTTTAGGAGATGGAATCCGAACGTATATAATTCGGCGCCAAAAAAGAGAGTAAATCATAGAGCTCTGGATGATATAAAAGAAAGCATTAATGAGCTGAAGCATTATAAAAAACATTTCTTTAAGTTTTTATAATTTAGTAGTAATATTTAGTTTATTGTATTTAATATTAATTTAGGCAAGGTAATTTATTTATACGTAATTAATATTAATTAGTACTTTTCCTGACGAAAATAAGAAGTTTCATGAACGTTTTTTGGATTTTTAAATGAATGTTTGCAGGAGTTGAGAGAAACGCTCAGTAGAGAATTCCTAAAGCGGAAATTACAACACTGCAGCATTTGGAAAACGGAATTAAGAAAAGCGTTTTTTGGGCATCTCCAAGTTTGACAGTGAACTCTCTGCATGAAAATGCATCAGCGTTTACTAAGCGTCCTCTGAAAAGCATTGCTTTAGCATTACGTTTTAGAACTTTCATGAAACAATATATATTTTATTTTAAATGATATATATACTATTTTATAAGCATTCTGAAAGTGTTTAAAACTCAATGGTGTTGTGTAAGCGTTCTTGTAAAGTTTAAAAGCATATAAACTTTCAAAAAATCGCCATTGAATGGTTGGTAATGCTTTATTATTATTATTTTTGTCAGGATTTACACTTAAAAAATTTCATGTATTTATTAATGTGAAAAAGCAATAAGACAATTTTAAGTTTTAAGAGAATCTAATATCAGTTTTTATCAATGTAATTTAATTTTAATCTCCGTTTAATACTAGAACCACGACCATTTTTTATATTTTTTCTTTTTCAATTAATTTGGATTTTCAGTTAATTTCGAGTTTTAGATTTTTGTGACTTTTCATAAATAATCATAATTAATTACATGTAATTTTACTTTTATGGTGACAATCTTCCCTTGTAAAAGCCAAATTTATCTTGAATCGCGATTGGGTTAATTTAATTCCGCGGTTCTAATGTTGATTAAGGATCTGAACACAAGAATTGCTGTAATACTTACTTAGATTTAAGTTGTAGACGTAAGTAACGCACAAGCTTTGACATATGACATAGAACTTATTGCCGTTTTTTAGAGATGGCAATAAGTTCTATGTCATACGCCAAAGTCTAAGTAAGTGTTACGACAATTTTTGTATTCAGATCCTATAACTCTTCATCTTTTTTTTTTAGGGTGACAAAATTCCTGAAATAATAAATTCAATAAATAAATGACAACAGGCAATTGGGAATTGATGCTGTAGACGATGCGCAATTTTGCTTTAAAAAAGCTTTATCTCAATAATAAGAAAATAATTAGTACATATTTTGGCTAATCTTTTAGCCTTCTTCAACAAAACAACATAAAAAATTATTACAGTAAAATATCTATCCGGCTGCAATCATTGAGAGGCAGTAACCATTGTGGAACAAATATTCCATTATGGAGCAAATTCCTCAATTAAAGGGGTGAATGACAGTGAATGACTAAGAATCTCACAATGATGTAACTGACGATCAGAATAAATTAGTTTGATCATAAATTTAATAATTATAATGCAATTAAAAACATTGAAATTAAAAAAAGTGTTCCATACCATTGTTAAAATCATGAATAATTTAACAATAAAAAGGCAGTTCGATGCGAATTATGGCAATGTATTTAAATGTAGATGGATACCAATTTATACTGTAATAATTTTTTATATTGTTTTAAGAAAACTAAAAGTTTAACCGAAACATGTGTACTAAAAATTGAGACAAAGCAAAATCATCTACAATGCTAATTCCCAATTGCCCATTATCATTTGATTATTTATTGAATTTTTTTACTTCCAAGAGCCTTTTCCACTAATATAAGATTAATCTCAAAATTAAAAAAAAAATAAAGACTAAATTAAATCGAGATTAAAGTTAATCTTACGTTAATAGAACTGGACCTAAGTAATTAGAAAAAGATGAAGAGTTGAATCGAGAATGGATTAAAATGAAATTTTTGTGCATATTTTATGTCCAAATCGAATCCAATTGAATAAAAAAGCTTTTTATTGAACTCAATTAGATTCAATTGAATTGAAAAACTGTATTTTCTATTCACAGAATTTTGAATTGAGTGATATATATGCATAGAAGATGTGAAGATGACAGTAGATGCATAGAAAAAACTGCTGACATTATTTTTAGATTGAAAGGCATAAAAATGTGTTTCATACAATTCCTATGATATAATCTTATAAATGAATAAAAATGCATTTAGATTGAAAAAGATTTATTTTAACGTTTTCGCGAATATATATTTCTGAAAATCTGAACTCATTATTCTCGTTTGGGAAGTTAATTGTACGTTGAAGTAGGTATTACTTTAGATTTGTGAATCGCGTTGTGAATAAATGTATATGAATATAATGTGAATTAAGAATTATTTTTCAATGGACATAATAAAAACTTAATAAAACGTAGCATAAATTTTATTTTTATACGCATATCTGCACAAAATTGAAGTTTTCAGGTTCGATTCCACAAAAATAAAATTAACTTTAATTTCGATTTTAATTTAATTCTATTTTTTTCTAATTTTTGGTAATAGAAAAAGATAAATAGTAAGTTAAACCAATATTAAAATTAATTCTACATTTATGAGCCTTACAGAGCGGCATACGTATAACCATTATGGTGGTTATCAACCAATAAGTGCGCTGGAAACTGAGTGCAACGAATCTGTTTACATGATGCGATAACAGCGTTGTCCACGCTCTTTAAAGGTGCCTTTTCAGGCTGACGCTCGACGCTCATTTTCAGCATCAAAATAAGTCACGTAATCAAAATTGATGCTAGATATTCGTCAATTTCTATCACGTAATCTGTTTTAACGCCGAAAATGAGCGTCGAAAAAGCAGCTTAAAGGTTGCGCTCAGTTTGAACTGCGTTTGAACATAAGTTTTAAATTTTAAATCATCATTCTGTTTTTATCGTTTATTAAATAAATAAGAATCGAAACAGTGAAAGTGTCCAAATCGAACTCTTTTATATTAATTCATATGATTGGCTGTCGTCAAAAAACGCAAAATGATGGCTGCATTCAGCAAAGAAATCAGCTTGACAATTGTTGTAAAATTTTTTGATGTGATTAGTCTTGCCCTTAGTTCCTCGTTCGATCTAAATGTAGTACTCTAGGAATCAATTATAGACTATATTTATACAATATGTTTAATAACATCCGTAATTATTAAATTAGGAAGCCTAATATATGCATCGGTCTTAATTCTAAAATTCTAAAATTCAGCCAATGGAATACAAATTTCAGTTAGGACCAATTAGGACTGGCAATCCTATTGGCTGAATTTTAGAATTTTAGAATTAAGACCAAAACATAAACCAATCAATATTCGTTATTCCTCTGAAGAAATGGAATGAACTGTTGATCAGTTGCATAACTACTATAATCTTTTAGCTTTCTTAAAACAATATAAAAAATAATATAAAAAGTATAAATTGATATCCATCTACATTTGAATACATTGCCATGATTCGCATCGAACTGTCCTTTTATTGTTAAATTATTCATAATTTTGACAATCGTATAAAACACCTTTTTAAGTACAACTGTTGTATGTGCAAAGCAGCTTTTTCTGCTGAACGCAATCAATGGGCACGTTCAAGTTAACAAAACGGCTAATCTGCTCTGTTACTTATAGATCCAACCAATCACATTCAATCACTCGGCATGCAGGCTAACAGCTTTGTCCGGTTTGAACGCGTCCAATGTGATTTCAACGATTTACACCTGGCGGCAATCGCGCGAAACATCTCAATTTAAATTCTGCAACGGATATAGCGTGGCTCATTTCTGGCGTGTGGCGTTTATAAACAGTAAATGAACGCGAAATAAAACGCAGAATCGTTCAGTTGATGAATGTAAAATCGTAACTAACCGTGTTGTGTTGTAGTAAGAAATAATTGTGCAACAAATCATCCAAAATGAATGATACACGTAATGTGAAGAAAGAGAAGAATCAGCATATCCAAGTTTTCGTGCGTGTCAGGTAAGTGATAGTAATTATTTATATTACTGACGCATTATTGCGTGTACTATTGAGGAAATTGAAACTCTGTACATAATTAAAGGCGCATAAAATTGTCTTAAAAAATTTTTTTTTAAATCTTTGTTTCCTTGTTTCACAATTTTAATTAAAACAATTTTAATTAAATAAATATAGCTAATTCATTTTTGTTATTTTTATTTTCTATGTTAATATTAGTTTGTTATCTTTATGAAACAACTTTTTTCAATAGACCAATAAATCAGAGCGAGAAAATTGGAAAATCTATTTCGGTATTGGAATTGCCAACTAACAAAGAAGTAGTGGTGCATGAAAGGATACAAGGTAGTCATTCAAAAAAGTTCACGTTTGACAAAGTATTTGGACCTGCATCAAAACAGGTAGAAACAATATGACGTTTCTTTGTATTGTATAACAAAAATAAAATTTTTTATCTTAAATGTTACTTTGAAGAAATATTTGTTTTAAAAAAAATTGTAATTTTTAGATAGATGTTTATAATGCAGTTGTTAATCCTTTGCTTGATGAAGTATTGGCTGGATATAATTGTACAGTTTTCGCTTATGGCCAAACTGGAACTGGAAAAACATTTACTATGGAAGGTGTTAGCAATGATCCATCATTACATTGGCAAAGTGTAAGTTGTATTATTTAAAAAAATATTAAGTATTAAATATTATGCATCAAATCTTATCATATTTCAATATATATAAATATAAACAATATAATAAATATAACTTAGTTGTATATATATATATATATATATATATATATAAAACTTAGAATAACTTTTTAAAT